GAACTAGTGCCCTTCTCATTAGTAAAACAGAGATCATTTTCTCTTTCTAATCCATGGCATGCTCATGATGCTTGAGGATAAGTCTTCTCATAAAAGTGTTTTATAAATGACAAAGGACTATAGACAAGTAAGCTTCAGTGTCGAGCCCCATGCCTTATGCAGAATGGATACTCCAAAAATATTTGTTCAATGAATGAATGAATGAATTGCCAGGAGTCCCTTCCCAAGATTGAGCTTTGGTTTTCTCATTTGTGACTGAGGAAAAAGATAGTACTATGTGCGTTGGGGACCTTATGAGGTAGCAGAGACACTGTGTATTGGTCTATGCAGGGCATCTCAGACTGTTTCAAGTAGTAAGGTATCACGAGGTCCTGTCCTGTGTTTTCTGGATGGGACCCTCAAGGCCTGGAGTTCAGAAACAAGACGCTCCAGGTTTCCCCAGGTTCTGGCGACAGTTTCCTGGTCAGGAATCTCTCCACTCCTCCACGATGCCCCGAATCTTTTTGTCCTGCTTGTCGTTTCTCACCTTCTGCAACCGATCAGCATATACCCAGCACAGTTTCCAGCCGTTTTAGGAGCTGGGAATACTTACTGCAGAGACCTCACCTCACCTAAACATGAAAGTGTGTGGACATCAAATGAAAAAAAATTAAAAAAGAGTATATAGCTTTATGAAGATTGGATTGTCTTATCCGTCACCCTCAAGTTATATTTTAGATAACTTAAACATGAATTAACGTCAGCATTTTAGTTTGTTTTTCCATTTTGGAGTCAGTTATTTTCTCTGATAGCAAATATAATCATAGGCCTTTGAAAAGCATTTGTGTCTTTGATGCTTTATACACTAAAAAAGTCTTCTTTGCTTTTTGTCCATTGGTTGGTTTCCCTTCTTCCCTTTTCCTGTTTCCTTGAATCAGTCAGTGACCATTCCGGAGTCTATAAAGCATCTGGAAATAGTAGTGTGTTTGGTGGGTGATAGTTCATGTAATTGAATGTTGTCAACTTACAAACATCATCTTGTATCCATATGTGTCCAAGAGTGTGATGACCAGACCTCACGTTTGCTCTGTGCATTGTGGACTGCAAAGGGCTTTCTCATACATTATCCATTTGTTCTCATTTGATTCTCACAGTGGTCCAGTGAACTGAGCATGACAGATATTAAAGTTACTCTTGATTTTACCAAGAAGAATCCAAAGCTTAGGGAAGTGTAGGGACTCGTTCAAGGTTATAGAGAAAGTGTCAGAGCCAAGATGAGAATCCACATCTCCTGGATTTCTTGGGTGCTATGCTATTTTCAGGTCTTTAGTTGGCTGTGGGGAAAGAATTATTCCTGGAAAAGGAGATTAAGCAAGACTTGAGCACTGGGATAACTTTGGGGTGTGTGTGTGTGTTTGTGTGTGCATGTGTGTGTGTATGCATGCACATATGCACGTGTGTGTGTTATAATAGAACATTAGCCTCGAACATTCTCTATGTGTTCTATAGACAATGAGATCAAATTAATTAAATAGTTCAACACATACTTATTTAGCGATGGGCACTGTTGTGGGTGCTGGGGATATAGCAGATATCAAAAAGACCACATCCTTGACTCATGGAGCTCATATACAGCAGATAAGTGATAAATTAGTAATCAATATATAGTAGGGTGGATGTTGATTACTGTTAAGGAAAAAAATAATAAAGCAGGGTGAGGGGGTGGGAAAAAGGGGGAGGGATTGCTATTTTATTTAGGTAGGTCAAAGGTGGCCTCAACGGTAATGTGGCATTTGAAAAGATACTTAAAAGAAGTGAGGGAGTGCTAGTCATGTGGATACTGAGGGCACACTGGGAGAGATGAGGATGTGCAAAGTTCCTGAGGCAGCAACATGTTTGTACACATGAGAAACAGCAAGGAAACCAACCTGCCTGAGGGAGAAAGAGTAGATTGGGATGGAGGGAGAGTTTTTGGCAGGATATGAGGTGAGAGGCATCTGGAAAGGAGAAGGAAGACAGCGAAGATCCTGAAGGATCTTACAGGTCACTGTGAGGGCTTTGGTTCTTACTCTAAGAGAGACAGGGATGCTTTAAGGACTTTGACCAGAGGCCTTATACGATCTGATATACAATCTTGGAGGATTTCTGATGATTTGATTGGCCCTCTGTTAAGATATTCCTGGTTAGTAATATTTCTACCTTGAGCAAGAGACTCGGTCCTGCCATGGGGCTTGGTGGTGGGGTGCAGTTTCTTTTCAGTCATGCTCAAGTGCTGTGGTGAAGTCAAATTTTAGTAATTCGTTCATTGTTCTGATCAGTGGTTGAGCTCCACCTAAGTGCTGGGAGCCACCTCGGGCTTTGGGTGTTCAAGAGTGAGATAGGGGCCCTGCTCTCAGGGAGCTTCTCCCACAGTGAAGAAATACGGACAGTGAACAAGTGAACCAGTAAAAGATTTGAGCTAGTGAAAAGGGCTACAAAGAAAACAGAACAGAGGGAGGTGAAATGATGATGCCATTGTAAGGGCTACTTTAGATTTCAGTATGATTTTGAAGTGCAGAACTTAGGCAAAAAAAAAAAAAAATGTTACACATGTGAAACAATTTACAGTTTATAAATTCAAAGGTGGCCAAAAAAAAAAAAAAAAGTGTGAGTTATTCTGACTTTTTAAATGAGAAGCTGAGGTTCCATGAGATTAGGCCACATGCCCAAGGCCCTAGTAAATGGCACATTTGGGATCTGAGTCCAAGTGTTCTCTAATTTTCAGTACCAAAACATTTCTCACAGTGTGCACCACTATGAAACAGACAGTAGGGCCAGGTAACCCTGGGACATGGGATGAGGGAATGAATGAGCCGTGGTTACGCAAGACAAGAAGCATGTGCCAAAGCCGGAAGAGAATGCGAAAGAGTAAGGACGGTAGCTGGCTCCCCCTAAGGTCACATAGGACCACGGATAGGATGTAGAGGGGCTGACATCCCCACATGTCCACTTCCCCTAGAACCCAGATAATGTGCACCCTGATCTCAGCAGAAGGATCCCTGCCTTGGATGGCTGCTTTCAGCGACCCCAGGCTGGGGAGAGCCCAGGGTCCCGTGAGGCTTCAGTCACTGCATTCATCTGCATCATTGTCACTGTATGTGGGAAACGACTGAAACCTCATTTCTGTCCCAGGCCTCTCCAAATCGTGCAGGGGGTACAAATCAAACCTGGAAAAGCTACCTCATCTTTGGCCGTTCAGAAATAGGGAGAGGCTTCAGGAATGTACAGTAATGTCCCACCCATGCCCTTTCCCCCCTTTATTAAAACAAATCTAAAACAACAAATGTCTAAAATTTTCCACTGGATCCTTTCACCCTGCCTTGTTGTAACCATGCCCTTCGTCCACACCCTGCTGGAGTTTTTTTGCAGCCCGAGGGAGGCTGGGAAGTGTCTGTCCCTAGCTCTCAGTCACTCCCATAATAAACAATCACTAAACAGCTTGCTGCCCTAGGCAACTGTTTGTCCAGCTTGGCCAGACCCTGTGGACTTCAGCTAGGGAAAAGAGGGTGGGAGATGTTCTCTGTATAGCAAAATTCAGGCTCTGAGGCCAGGGAGCTTGCCTTTGACCAGAAACCTGGTTTGGGATCTGGCGCATCTTTGTGGGACTGGAGGATACCTTTAGGGAGACTGCGGGTCTTTATCTAAGCAGTCTAATGAAGTTCCCTGGGGGTAGCTGGCGCTTGGGGCTGCAGTGTGGGAAGGCATTTGCAAGAAGGACCAACCATATTGCACTAACTGGAAATAAGGTCATTTCCTGCCTCAAGTTTCCCATCTACAGCTGGGACAGTTGGCAGTTCTACTAGTCATCCATTCCTAAGAGACATCTCCTTAGAAACCACCACCCCACCACCACAAAAAGAGAAGCACCTCACTTTAGGGACTGGGACCAGCTTAACTTAACCTGTTCCTCTCCAGTCATTAGAAAAATCTCTCTTTTTTTCTGTGATTGGATCTCTTGGAAGCTTTCTACAGAATAGACGAAGGGGCTTCAGGGGCGAGGAAAGGTTTGCACACAGATGAGGATTTAGAATAGATGTCTCAGGACAGAGACACGAAGAATTGCAACGATTCCTCTTGATTGTAATATTTCCTTTTTATTTGGGGGAGATTGGGGCGTGTCCTTGGGGGCAGAAAAAACAAAGCTGGGCTTTGTAGGGAACAAGGGACCCGTTTAAACGCTTGATAGGAAATTAAAATACTGATCCTCCGAGGGTCGAGGGTGGGCAGGGAGAGAGGCTGCTTCTGGTCGGCGGTCGCGTTCTATGAAGTCTCTCCTCTCCCACCCCTCGGGCTCGCCACGCCGCTTCATTTCGAACATCTTTCCCCAGGAACTCGCACACTCCCTGCTCGGGGAGGCGGTCCCGGCAGGCAGGCAGGCAGGCAGACAGGCGAGGAGACGGCATTCTCGGGGGCGCCCTGGGAGCGCCAGCCGGTCCCCGCTTCCTCGGCCGCCCGGTGCCCGCGGGCGCCTCTGGGCGGCGCTGGCTCCCGGCACAGCAGCCGCTGGCGGTGCGGCCCAGGCCCGGACCGGGCCCTGGTCTGGCCGAGCTTCCCAGCCTCTGGGCCGTGGGGCTCGCACCCGGCCGCCCCGCGCTCAGGCCGCCCGCAGAGACGCCCCGGGGTCCCCGCGCCCCCGCGCCCCTGCGCCGCGCCGGAGCCTCGGCCGGCGGCCGGGGGGTTATGAATGGGCGCAGCGGAAGCACCGCCCCCCCCCGGACGTGACGCTCGGCCAATGGCAGCGCGGGCTGCGTGGATGGATGAGGTCAGCGCTGTCGTGTCGGGAATGGAATGTGTAAGTGTAACATTCAGAACCGGGTAACATTCGGCGACCGAACGCGGCGGTCGGCGGCGATCGCGCGGGGGCCTGCGAAGCGCCGCTCGGGGCCGGCACTGCCCGCGGGGAGGACGCGCCGCCGCCGTCGCCCAGCGCCGCCGCCGCCGCCTCCAGCCGGGCCGCCGCGCGTCCCGGGGGCCGGCCCCGCGAGCGCAGGAGTAAACACCGCCGGAGTCTTGGAGCCGCTGCAGAAGGGAATAAAGAGAGATGCAGGGATTTGTGAGGTTACGGCGCCCCAGCTGCAAGATGCACTAGCCGGCTGAACCCGGGGATCGGCGGCTGACTTGTTGGAACCGGAGTGCTCTGCACGGGAGTGTGGATGAGTTGAAGTTGCTTTCCCGGGGCTCGTTTTCCACGCTGCCGAGAGGAATCCGAGAGGCAAGGAAATCACTTCGCCTTGCCATTGATTGGGCATCGGGAGCTTTTTTTTTCTCCCCTCTCTTTCTTTTCCTCCGTCTTGTTGCATGCAAGAAAATTACAGTCCGCTGCTCGCCCGCCCTGGGTGAGAAATATTCAGCCCCGCTTTCTCCCGTCCATTGTGCAAGCCAAAGATGAAAGACCGAAGGGGAGAAAGTTAAAGAAATCGCCCACATGCGCTGGATCAGTCCACGGCTTGGGGAAAGGCATCCAGAGAAGGTGGGAGCGGAGAGTTTGAAGTCTTTACAGGCGGGAAGATGGCGGACTGGAGCTGAAAGTGTTGATTGGGAAACTTGGGTGATCCTCGTGTTTATTTACAACCCTCTTGACCCAGGCAGGACACATGCAGGCCAAAAAACGCTATTTCATCCTGCTCTCAGCTGGCTCTTGTCTCGCCCTTTTGTTTTATTTCGGAGGCTTGCAGTTTAGGGCATCAAGGAGCCACAGCCGGAGAGAAGAGCACAGCGGTCGGAATGGCTTGCACCACCCGAGTCCGGATCGTTTCTGGCCCCGCTTCCCGGACGCTCTGCGCCCCTTCGTTCCTTGGGATCAATTGGAAAACGAGGATTCCAGCGTGCACATATCCCCCCGGCAGAAGCGAGACGCCAACTCGAGCATCTACAAAGGCAAGAAGTGCCGCATGGAGTCCTGCTTCGATTTCACCCTTTGCAAGAAAAACGGCTTCAAAGTCTACGTGTACCCGCAGCAGAAAGGGGAGAAAATCGCCGAAAGTTACCAAAACATTCTAGCGGCCATCGAGGGCTCCAGGTTCTACACATCGGACCCCAGCCAGGCGTGCCTCTTTGTCCTGAGTCTGGATACTTTAGACAGAGACCAGTTGTCACCTCAGTACGTGCACAATTTGAGATCCAAAGTGCAGAGTCTCCACTTGTGGAACAATGGTAGGAATCATTTAATTTTTAATTTATATTCCGGCACTTGGCCTGACTACACCGAGGACGTGGGGTTTGACATCGGCCAGGCGATGTTGGCCAAGGCCAGCATCAGTACTGAAAACTTCCGACCCAACTTTGATGTTTCCATTCCCCTCTTTTCTAAGGATCATCCCAGGACAGGAGGGGAGAGGGGGTTTTTGAAGTTTAACACCATCCCTCCTCTCAGGAAGTATATGCTGGTATTCAAGGGGAAGAGGTACCTGACAGGGATAGGGTCAGACACCAGGAATGCCTTATATCACGTCCATAACGGAGAGGACGTGGTGCTCCTCACCACCTGCAAGCATGGCAAAGACTGGCAAAAGCACAAGGATTCTCGCTGTGACAGAGACAACACCGAGTATGAGAAGTAAGTGGCTTGGCTGTCAGGCCTGCGCCGGTCCGCCCTGGGCCCTGCCCACCTTAGCTAGGTGTGCGGTGGGGGAATGGGGTGGGGCAGAGGGGCCCTCTGGCCTCTTCACTCCGCTTCCCAGCCTGGGACTGAGCAGCCTGCTTCAGGCCTGTGGCTAGGAGCGGGGGACCGAGAGTTCGAGCTCTTCGGGCAAACCCCGGAGCACTGTCCTGGGCCAAGTAGGCGACCGTGCCTCCCTCTTGCTTGGAAACCCTTAAGGGCTGTGTATCTTCTGTGAAAGGTGTGGGTTTGAGCCGAGTTCGGAAACGGTGCTTCACCAGTGGGCGCGGGAGGGTGTGCAAGGAGGTCTAGGGGCCCTGAAGGGTCTCTGAATCCACCCACGGTCTGGAGACCTTCCCCCCCACCCCAGATCTGTAATTTATTTGCTTTTCTCAGGAGCAGGGGGACTGCTTTCCCGGGAATTTCCCAGCCTCCAGTTGTCAGATTTCCGTACACCTTAAATTTACGTTAGCGGTGGAAGTGTTTTAATGTAAGGTACTAAACTTTCTGTGCCTGTCTTCTCCCTACCTTCCATGGCATTGACTTTTGCAAAGGGAGACCTTAAGCTGATCCTGGCCTGTGATCTTTCATTCGTTCGTTCGTTCGTTCGTTCATTCATTCATTCATGTATATGTGTTTGTATGTTTGTATCCTGTGTCCTACATTCATTCATTCATTCATTCATTCATTCATGTATATGTGTTTGTATGTTTGTATCCTGTGTCCTACCTAGGGAGAAGCTGTTTTTAAAATCTGGGCCTCAGCCGGGCTTGCTGTAAACTCCAGTTGCTAATTTAGATTTCCCTTTCCCTTTTGTCTTTATTATTTGCATGTCAATCGGAGACTGTTACTCTTTGAATGGGCACGAGATGCCTCCTTACCCTCTGTACTGAGGCTAGTTTTGTCCAGTTGCTAAGTAACTGAGTTGGATACTTTGTAGCCTTTCTTTCTCTTCCTTTTCCTTCCAGTGGCAGAAACTGACACATGGGATTTGGGGTCAAAGCTAGTTTCTACAAATCTGCTTTAACCTGAGTTTGGCGGGTCTGCTTCCGAGTAGATGGGGTCAGAGCCCCAGACTCTCATTTATATCTGGCTGTGAAAGAGTTAGTGAGCTCCTACAGTGCATTTCCACGTTACGCCAGTTAAAAACCAGAGCAGCCTTGTGCTACCCAGGGAAGGAAGGGGGAACCTCTCAGCTGAGTACAAGAGGAACTGGCAGAGGTTGGCAGATTTTGCAATTGATTCATGAAATGCAGAATAGGGGAAACGCTTCGCAGACCTGATTGGCACAGGAAGGACTGTAGTGGGAAGGCAACCCTGAAAATGAAAGGTTTGATTGTTGTCTGTGGATTTCCTCAGACACTCAGGCCTCTGTAGGAGTGATTGGAAGGGAAATTAAAGTCCTCCTATACGGGATCATAGACACCAAAGGAGAAAGTATCAAACACTTGGATTCCCCAACCCCCAACACCTCTTGGCCTTCCAAGCATAAGAAAACCCGAGGCTAGGGTCAATTATGAATTCAGATTTTACTCTTCTTCGTGGGAGGGGCAGTTATGTGTGAATGTTGAGTGCAGTTGCGGTGGATTAAAATTTTCTCACAAGAGAAACAAACTATGGTTAGTAATAAACTGCTTTGTTTACACGACATTTACATTGACCTATTCCTGTGGGTGCTTGTAAGAAAAAAAAAATGCTTATAGCCTTTCAGGAATTCCTTTGTCTGGCTTGTGCTGGAGTAACTCGAGACTAAGTCTCACCTTTTGGTGTCTTCTAAAGCAGCCTCACCGAATTTTGTGGAAGGATCGCTGTGGTCCTCATTCTTCTGAAGGAACTGGAGCTGAGTTCTCAGTGTAGGAAATCTGAAGGATACTTTTATTTGGGAAACACCCTTGATCCCATAAAACGATCATCTTTTTTTACCCTCTTATTCCCCCCAAATAAATATTTAATCTCTACATTCCCTGCTGAAGCTTTTTCTAGAGCTTGGCAATGAAGGAAGGAGGAGCTGGTTTTGTAGAACCTCTAATTTTTGCCAATTAAATCTAACTAATTTTTGGCCTCTTTGGGATTGGGCTAGGAAATCTGACACCCACGCTCTTGTTTTGGGTTTAAAGACCACAAGGGGTCAGGCCCTTAGGATTGGGGCTCATTGGAAAAGTGGTCTTTACTTAGCAAAGCAAGTTTGGTCTTTTCTCCCGAGCAGGGATTTCTTCAGCAGAGTCAATTCTGGGTGGTTTTTCATGTTTCCCTTTCGCACGCTTTCCAGCTCTAACCTTGTTCACTGGGTTGGGATGGTGCTGTAGGACGTTCACGTTCATTAGCCTGGTCTACCTGAAGTTTTAACTCATTCCTCTCATTGGGTTATCAGAACCTGTGATCATTGAGAAACAGTGCTTGCAAACATGATTGTCTTTTACTTTTGACTTTGAAGCCCATGAAGATGAAGACTGAGCCTGGAAACAGAGCGGCAAAGCTCACGCATCGTGAGCAATGGCGTGCTTTGCTTGGAACCCACAGCAACCCCTTTCCACCCCGTTTGTTGTGTTCTGGAAGTGAGTCTTGCATATATGTGCGATGCAGAACTCCACAGTCTGGCGCTCCTCTCTCTTCCCGGTCTTTGAGAAGGACGTGATAGTGATGTTAGCTCTGTGCAAGTCAGGGAAGTCTGACTTCTCATACTTGACTTTTGATTTGTTACCTTGGACGTTAGTTATCCTTTTGTGGAATGAGTTTTCGAGTCCTTCAGGGACGCTCTATGCATCCATTTGGCAATGGCTTGTAAAAACACCATCAGTTTCCATCCGCTTCTCTTCATGAGCAGGTACCTCTGAAAAGTCTTCAGTGTAATTTGCTGTGACTGGCAGCCCACAGTATAAGTTCGCTTTGGACTTACGAGGTCTGATAATTAGAGTGGAGATTTGTGGTATCGTGGCCTAGTTAGGGTCCTACAGAATATACACAGGTGTACCAACTGAAAAAAACTAGTTGCCCTTCGTGAAATTTAGCCTTATGTGATGATGAAGATGTCGTGCTAAGTGGTTGAGGACTTCCATCTCACATGCACTTTCTTGGAAATCGGACATTTTTTACTGGAAGTATAAGAGTGGCACGGAATGAGGGGAAATACTTCTCTCTTGTAATAGCAACAGTTTTGAGCCAGACCTCCGGGATTATATTAAAACATCCATTTTCATGACACCCATAATTAATTTTCATCAGTTGCATATATATATTATATATATATATGTGTGTGTGTGTATATATATATATATATATATATATATATAATATTTTAAGATTTTATTTATTTATTTGACAGAGATCACAAGTAGGCAGAGAGAGAGGGGGAAGCAGGCTCCCTGCTGAGCAGAGAGCCCAACATGGGGCTTGATCCCAGGACCCTGGGATCATGACCTGAGCCAAAGGCAGAGGCTTTAACCCACTGAGCCACCCAGGCACCCCATCAGTTGCATATATTAACAGATGTAGGTGCTGGTGGCTAAGATAAGTCGCTGCAGTGATTATATGATTTGGAATGAGGCTTTTTAGAGCAATACTGTTTTTTCACTCCTTTGAGTTTCCTAGGCGTCCTTACAGGAACTACTCTGGTTTTTTTTTTGGCATGAACTTCATAGTTCAAATCCCTTCAAGGGGCATTATTGCGAAGCTTCAAATTTGGCTTTCTGAAATAGAAGAAAGAGAAGGAAATGAGAGGTGGCTTCTATCTTTGACCCCTCCAAGGAGAGCAGTGGTGAATAATTTAAGCAACTCTTCTGGGAACAGGCAGGATTTTATGCAGGCCTTTTTGATATCTTTTCCCATGTTTGCTGAAGCTCTACCTTACAATCTTGGTATTTTTAAGGGTCCTGAAGCTAAGTGATTGATCATTCAGCTTCCAGGATCCTCATTTTACAGGTGTGAAAACAGAGGGATAGAATGTTTGCGGGACTTGCATTAAGGTTAAAAAACTGATTGGTAGTAAGGGTGGGTAGCCCTGGGATGCAGGCCGTCCGAATTTTCCGCATTGACATATAGCAGTTCATCGTCAATTACAGATACACTTGAAAGCTCTCCGCCAGCTAGGAGATCCTTTCTATAGCTGATTCTTGGGGGGGGGGGGGATTTCTCTTGGAATCCTTTGGGGAGATGAGGAAGACCTTGGACAAACTTTGAAAGTAAAAACAAACAAAAATGACATTGATGCACCATTCGTCCTAGAATTTCAGGCGTTGATACACAGCCCCATCCTCAGACTTTCAAATTCTTGCTCTCGGGCCAACCTTCTGCTTTTCATTGCTGACCACGGTGTTGGTCCCTGGAGCTGTTTGACCTGTAGTCCAGGAAGGAGGTTTTTGGACCTTTCAGTTTGGCCCTAAGGGATTTAGGGAATAGACTGTGAATTAAGCGAATGATAAGGTGAATACAGGTGTGTTCATAGAAAAAGAAAATGTGCACAAGTGGGAATTGTAAATGATTATTTATTTATTTCCCATCATCCCAGACTGTATCAGCAGACCCCTCGAGCAAGTTCATGATGCAGCAGTGAACCTTAAAGTGAATGTTTTTCTCCTCTAAAATGAAAGGTGGAAATCGTGCTTCTTAGGTTTTAAATGTAAAATATGAGTGCCTCTCCACGCCCCCCACTCCCCAGTTATATGATAGCACAAAAGCCTTTCTAAAATAAACCATACAAGCACAGTTTAAAAATAAAGATAGGGAACATTATGCAGAATTGTGAAATTGGCAAGTGTGTCTTGCACCCGTGTTCTGGTTCTCTCTGTCACCCCTTTCTTAACCTCCGTCTGAACTTGCTTTCTGGAGAGGACTTGGGAGCCTCATTTACAAGGAATCCCCTCAATAAAGGGAGGGGTGCTGGGTGCTACCTCTGGGGACATTTACCTGTTGGTTGAGTCCAGTTCAACAAACGACTTGGTTTAGAGTAGAATCTGACCTAAACTA